CAGATCATCTGCTGCTCACAGTTCTGATCATTTATTATCAATAATAATTTTATTGATTATTATCATGAGGAGTCCTTAACTAGGATGTAGTTAGGCAATTAAATATTCATATATGTGTAAATTTATTACCATAATTGCAGGTGAGTCACGTAAATTTATGTTTTTATAAAACAAGTACCCCGCCCCCACCCCCAAGACCTCTTTCCTAGGGGAAACACTGAACACAGTGCAGGTGTTTTGAAGCTGCTTTCCAATACAGCACAATATATTGTGTAACTGTGTTTCTATGCAAATATATTAAGAATGTTAGGGGCTTGTCTGCATTTTTAAATTAAACATAACATCTTTTAACGTTTGTGTGGCTTGAATACAATGAGACAAAGAGATTTCCCAGTCTGATCGTATTCAACAGCTCTCTGAAACAAACAGCAAAATACTGTCTATTCATCCTGCTCCTGAGGCATCTGAAGCACCTGCCTGAAGTCAGCAGGTTGAACCTGTTTAAGGTGAGAGAGGTCAGAGGAGACTTTCCTCCCCCTGCAGAGACACCACGATGCCTGCACTGGATGTCAGTGAAGGCAAATGGCAGCTGACTGTGTTAATCACTTAGCAGACCTTTCCTATTTTCTAGCATAGCATACCATACAGGTTTATATACACATCATAAAAATTCTAATTCAGCCGTTTTAGTTTAATGACTCAGTCATCCCATGGGTACTGATGCATCACCAAACCTTCATAAACACAGGGTTTAGTAGTTTTCACTGATTACCACCTTAAAAGTCTTTGTCATGTTGAGTACAAAGGACTCAATTCTTCAACTCAACCTAAATCTGTTCCTAAAGGCGAGCTAAAAGTGTTGTCAGCTGACTTAAAAACAGGTGTTTGTTTATTTGTTTTCTATAGAAGTCAGACGACCTTCCTCAAGATTAATGTGTGTAACTTCTACAGCAGTAAAATGTCTTGTGCGCCTTTGGCTTTTTGATCAAAATAGAAAGCTGGTTTGAGAAGCTGCACAGATTAATTCGCTTAAGCCACTTAATGTGATAAACTAAATAAAAAATTTTAAATATTTAAATTTTCATTGCATTTAATGAAAACAAACGGATTTTCAAAAAAACTGCTTGGACATAAATCAGAAGTGGCCTTATAAATACAAAAAAATAATAATAATAAAATCAACAGACTTAACCCTGTCATAATAATGTTTATACTGCTGAAAGTTTTTATTTGTATTGATGGTGGTGATAAATCGTAAAGCTCTATTATTAGTCTGTTTATAAAAGACCAGCTTCAGTTCCAGGGGTCGGATTTATAAAACTGGTGTACGCACAATTTGAGCCCAGAAACTTGCGTACGCCACTTTTTACGCCAAGGTTGTGATTTATAAAATCCAAACTTGACGTGAAAATGTGCGGTGCCTCATGCCAGCTTTGACCCATGCGTACGCTCATTTTGGAGACGGGAAACTGTTGGTGTAACAGATGGTGAAGTGAGGAATTAGAGCCACACTGCATCATGATCACTGTCAGAGATTTAATTTCACTTCATCAGAC